AGCCACAGCCATGAGCAGCAGCACAGGAGGATCCACTTCAATGGGAGGAGCCAGTTCATTAAAAAAGTGATCTAGGGCTTTTGATATCAAGATAAACATCCTGATACACTTCAAAGCAGCTTCCACTCCTTGTCCTTAGACACCCTCTCTTGCTTCACTTAACTTCTGGATTTTGGAATTATACTTCTGCCTAATCCATCCTGTGCTGCATGCCATCTGGATGGTTGTTTGTCAGGGTTGATTCTGGATGCTGCTTTGTGGCACGGGAGACCTTCAGGTCACGACCATGAGCCTGAATACTGTTATTACCTTCTGTTCCACCTAAGAGGTGCTGGTGAAAGCTCTTACATTTCCATTGAAAAACATCGTGGTTTTGAAAAAAAGTGCAATAGGGAAGTGCCCAAAGGCCTACTGGGGCGCCTGATTGCCCAGAGGTCTTCATCCCTCCAGACACCCTGCCAGACCCATCCGTGGCAGCAGGTTGGGCATTCAGCAATCTGGGAGAAAGCACTGGAGTGTGAACATGGACCACTTGCTCAGGGAGAAGAGTGAAGAGGCAGGAGCAGTATGTGGGAGTCCTGCTGCATCCTGGTTTACCTCATGGTAAACCTCTCCTTCAGCATTTGGACATCATGAGAAGGATTTTGCAAGGCTCAAGAGGCAGGAGGACTTTTCCTAATGCCAACACCCCAAGCTTTTGCTGTAGCTTTAGCATGGTGGCCACTGGAGCTGGGCTGCATGGTGAGCCATGACCGTGGGGTCTGCGTACCCCTCACCAGGTCACCCCAAGGCTTGGGGTACTCTTTGGGGCAGGAAAGAGTAGGGGAGGGGCTGATGCAGTGGGGAAGCATCAGGACTGAGCATGCAGCTACTAGCAGGCAACTGTAGATGCACTACAGACACAGCTTAAAGCTGACCTCAGGGCAGTCATTTGGGTCACACTCCCTGTACCCCAGGTTTGCAGGGTGGGACAGGCTCTAGTAGGCACACAGCCTCACCTCCAGGTCATGGTGTGGTTGTATTGGCTGGGAGCGGGGTACAGGGACAAAGGGGTTGCTGACACTGTTAGGCAACAATTTTATTATTTCAATTCTTCCAATTATTATACATAGGCTCTGGGCTGGGGCAGGCCATGCAAGAAGGAGGGGATCAGGGGAGCGGTGAAGCTTTGAGTTGTTGCAGAGTGGCATAAAACTAGGGAAAAATCCCTACCCAAGGGGTCTGCTCTGGCTCACCTGGGGGTCTCATGGCTGTGGAAGTGCAGCTGTCCTGTTGCAAGCTGCTGTGTGGGATGGAGGGGGAAGAAGCTCTATGCCTAGGCTGCCCAGAGCAGAACCCTCACAGTTCCTAGGCCATCTAGGCCTTGCATGCCCCAGAAGGAGCCCACCTTCCTCTCTCCAGGCTTTTCCTGTTCTTCTGGCTGTCACCCCAGCCCT